CGATGACCGCTTATCCTTTATGATCGCGGTCCTAGACATAGTGTTTTCAATAGGGCACTATAATTTCGAAGTTATCAGACATCAATAAAAGGTGGTTAACTTTCTGCCAGGAAGCTTACCAATCAAATGGCGATACTCATGCGCCTCCGGCTATGTTGAAAATGTACTCTGAGAAAAATGGATGTAAATAAGTAAACGATGATTTTAAAGCAGGTTTATTATCAAATCCGAGTCACATTTAAAAGCGAATGCTCCTCAAGAAATGAACACTGCTAGGAATGGACAATATGATCCATTCTCTTACTGAGAGACTCAGCATACACGCTGGAACCGACAGTCACGTGTAATAAGGTATGACCGAACAACATGGCGACACCAGCCGAACGGGAAAAGTGGACTCTTGCTGTGCAGCTAACCAATCCGTAGCGTACGGGGACTTTCTGGGTAGGCATCACTAATTTATTCGGACTTTGAGTGCTAGACTGTGTTCACCTACACATAGTACTTCCTGAATTAATAGTGCCATATAAATATCCAGTAATGATGCGAAAGGTCAGATATCAGCAAGCATCTAGGAGAGATTGCCGGATACCAGTTACTCCTCGCATTTCCAGTTACAAAAGTTCACTTTTCAAGGCTACCGCCGAACCTGCTTCGACTACAGCAGAAGCTAAATACTGTCACCTCGAACTGTCAGTCCTTGAAAAGTGGAGAGGCCAGCTGCCGTTACCAAAAATTTCAGCCGTCTAAACGCGCCGATCGCATGCCTCCAAGAAACGTGATTAAAAATGATGAAATCACAAAAATGTTTTTAGATGGCCATGCATCTTATGCATTATTCAGATCGAAGGCTGAAGAAGGTATATATAGCTGCGGAGTCGCAGTGCGCTCAGATTACGTAGGAGATGTAGAAGAATAAGGGCCAATTAGCCCAAGACTGTGCTGGATGAAAATATCGAAATCGCCAATATGAATTATAACCGCCTATAAACAATACAGATGAACAAGGACAGAATGCTTTCTATAATATGCTTGAACAATTACTTAGTGCAATACAGTCGAATGAACTTGTATTCTTTGGAATAGATGCTTGTGTCAAATTCGGCAGCAGTAAAATGAGTTTCACACTGGAAAAAGGTTCCTGCCGTCAAAAATGACCACAGAAAATGAATCGATGACATCAAAATCGAGGAAAGAGTCCGCCCGGCTAATGTGACAATCCTGAAGCGAAACAGATGTTCGCAAAGACTAACATGGCAAGGCCCGCAGTGTCTGTCTACTGAGTAATGGAAAGGGCGTGGGTGAAAGAAGTTACAGCACTTGTTAGATTACATATTCATATAAGTGACCACTGGAAACATCCAAAAGCATCAGAAAATGCACCTGCCTGCCTGACCATATTCCGGTAATCTAAAATATGATGTTTTATGACAATGCCAAAAGGTTGGAGGCGATGCCAAAGTTTAATATGGCATTGGAAAAATCTAGATGTCAGGGAAAAAATTCTCAACGGCGTTCAGTCAGACACTGGAAAGGCACTTGTCTATGAAGTGTGGTGATTTCAGCAACTGCCTAATGACTGCCACTAGCGAAAGGATTCCAGTACTCCAAAGAGAACGCACCTATCAATCGGTGGGAGCAAGGACCTAAACATTTAAGGAATGGAAAAGAGCCAAACTTGCAACAAATAAGGAATTTGCAAAAGAGAAGGAAACCGAACTAAAATGCCATCTACCGAAGAAAGGAACACACAGTGGCTAAAATGAGCTACTGTTGTGGAAAAAGCGTTCAAATACAACAAATACTGACGAGCGATGTTTTAAAACGGAAGAAATAATACCACCTCGTCTTTCGTTAGGTCGAAAAATGGATCGCGCATGCTGATAGGACTCAAATGTGCCAAGCAATTTCGGGAATATTTCCAGCAACTTATAAACCGACCCCCCCCCGCTAGCCACTTCAATGCTTTGCTTTCAGCGAAGCAGGACGCCTGATCATGATTGCAGCATTGATGTAATAACCAGCCAAGAGATCATGAATGCTCCCACAGGAAGAAAAATGGTAAAGCAACTGATCAAGATGAAGTTCAAGTGGAGCTGATGAAACACGTACATAATGCATAATTGCCAGTGTTGCCGAACAACACGCAATTAGATTTGGCGAACAGAGACAATACCGGATTATTCAGATACACAAAAAAGAGCTATATTAGATGTCCGAAACCAGAGGAATCAATCATTAGCGAGGCGATTAAGGTCACTGAAAGAATCATCAGCAATATCCTACCCGAGAGAGATAATACTATCAGAAAAGAAAAATATGGCTTCCGCCAACAGACTACAATTTAACTTGGCGCCTTCTGATGGAAACGTATAGCCGACACTAGAAACCGCTGTTCATTGCGTTAATCGATTTTGAGGCAGCTTTCGATTATTCAGAAAGCAGGACCCTCTAGGAGTTGTTAAGAGATGACAGACTGACAGAAAAGGTTGCTAACACATTGAAAAACTCTATTCCAGAACAACGGCTGAAGTGAGAATCCAAACATTCAGCGAACGAGTGAAAAAACCTGCGCGTTTAGTTTTCTGACAGCTTTCCGACTGATAGTAGAGAACGGCAATGATCGTTCATCGGATTGATGCTATTCAACTAATGGATGCCGGCCGAATGCTGGACTGGAACGACATGGATGCCGCTGTGACAGGCAGTTACAAACCCTGATAGCGAAGTGATACTCAAACCATCAGGGCGCTGACGATAACGTGGATTACGCTGACGACGTTGCGGTCATTGCAACGAAACCGGAAGAACTTCAGAAGACGCTGACAGCAACAGAAACAGTCAGTACCAAGTATGGACTGGAAATGAAACCATCGAAATGCAAGTCTTTGGTTCACAGCATGTCCCAGAAAATGTCAACACCATGAAAATTTAAAAAAATCGTGGATAATAGCTAGTGATAAAAGCTGTGAACTTGATGTCCAGGAAAGAATCAACCAGGCTCGAATCACATAACATTCTGAAGCAAAATCTATGGAAAACCGCTGTTAATACTTCAGTGAAAGTCCGCGTAAACCTGACGGTACTAATGTATGCCGCAGCAACGTGGACCCTTACCAATAAGTACGCGAATGTGCTCGACGTATTTTAACGCTAGTGTTAGCGAAGAATACTCCGCTACAGATTGACTGTTATGATCACGATTGTTCAAGTGCTGGAGGACGCTAGAACAAGTACAGATGGAGTTCACCAGGCAAGAAATATCAGCTCTCCCTCTCTGAAGAACATAAAAAACAAAAACTTTTCGGCCACGCACTGCGACGTAACAGCAAGCGACTGATCAACATCTCGTAGTGTGCTGAACCAATCTTGGAAAAGACTGCGAGGGAGGCTGACAAATTCATGGTTGGATAATATCAGAGACGAACTATCAGATAAGAAGATGGGCCGCATTAATCGACAAACTGCGAGCCAAACATGGCACAATGATTGGCTTGCAATCATATCTGACATTACCCAGGATAGAATAAAATGGCAAATGGTGAAAAGAAGCGGGAGGATCCCGGAACCCGTTTGCGGCATCCGATAAGTCAAGTAAATCAATTAATTTATTTTTGTTTCAACTTTTCGTGCTTCTGGGTGAAGATAAAACGTCTGAACTGTAAACAGACTGCCACTATGTGACCGCGATGACCTGCCAAAGCAGAGTGATATTTGCGTAACAAATAAAGCGGGAAAACCTAGGAAAACATATGCGCAAAAGAAACAGCTGCTGACGATTCATCAAAGAATTTTAACCACATTCCCAGTCTTAGACATTAAATGGAGTTGGAACTATTTAAAACAGCTACAACTGGTTTCGACATCATCGTGCAACAGGCTGAACAAAACTTAATGTTATGACTTGCTACAAGTCGAGAATATTGGAAAGTCAAGATGTCACCAACGCGAAGATGGTTAATTTGATTTAATTTGCCAAGAAGCCTTCGCTTTCATCGTATTTTAATTTTTAATACACTGAAACTGCAGTACAGAATTGAAAATCGCAAAGGAAGCTCAACTCTGATTAAGGTCAGCACATAAAACATTCTCAAAGACTACCAGCCATTAGCGAAGGATAAAATTAAGCACTTCTGAGTTGAGAAAGGTAGAAATTTTTCAATGCAATATTTATTTTTGGCATTCTTCTTCATGCTTTCAGCACAAAGTCAATCTCCGTTCCAGTGTTTTTAATCAGAAGCGCCTTAGTTACGAAAGCAATATCTACAGCAAACAGATCGTATAACCTCCCGCTTCCTACCCACACACTGTGGTAATCAGCACAGATAACTTTGCGAATAATCCCTTTTCGTGTAAAATATGATTTAACAGCTTCGTTCATGTCGTTTTTGCAGTTAACGATCTCTTCTATATGCAAACTTAGAACGCGACAAGTACTTTTACGGGTTTGAATCCGTGGAATAACATTCAGAATACATTACGTATCTATATAAGAAACTGATTCAGCTGTGGAGACGACAATTAAAATCACATCTGTTAACTCCATAACGTTTCTGTTACTTATCTGAAAAGTTAATAACAAACCGAAAAACTGGAAGCCGATATTAGATGAATCACTCTAAATACCTGAAAGTACTCCAAGCATCTTTTAATTAGAAACAGAACAGACGACGTCGTCCACAGAATTAAGACTTCCCCGATCAGCTGAGGCACAAGACCGCTAGAGCAAAAAGTAAGTCGTTGAAAACACAGCTACAAGCATACTAGAAGTAACCCTTGATGCCGGTTTGATCGTAGATCGACTTCAGTGATAATATCAATCCCAAATACATTCTTTCTCCTCCAATGAACTGAGCCATCGATCTGATCATAGCAACTGAAACAGCAATAGAAAGAATCAGCAAAAACCGCAAAAGACCGTAGCATAAAATGTACGAACGCACAAGCATTTCTAAATAAAACGAGTTCATTAACATGCAGAACAGTTAAAACGATTATTCTTTACTTTTGTAAGTCTCTTTAACTTCAAATCAATTTAACTCAATCCATGAATTTCTTCGGCGCTACAAGACGGACTGACTTTATTCTAACGTTTCAAAATCAGGGCCGATAAGAAATTTATCTTATGAATGTTCGCAATAAGGAACATACAAAACACTTTCCTTATACAGTCAGAAAGCAGTGAGTCTCACTCCGCGCATTTTTCATCTCAAGAAACAAAATGAATATCACTTTAGAGCTACCTGCTACGTGCTCACACCACAAGTACGCTTTCCTTTCAATTGTTATATCCCAGTGCTGTTTAACATTTATTCAGCGTTGAAGCAAATGAGGAGAGATGGGCTACAGATTGGTGGGTTGCGTCGCTCAGAGCCTTTTTCTTGCTGACAAACTGTGCACGGCTGAATAAATAACGATATCACCGGTCCTCATGCTAATCAGTATTATTCATCAGGGAATTAACATACTACTTCAGCAGGTATTCAACTGTGAGTTGCTGCGCTCTGTTTTCACCATTACAAAATTGAGGGAGCTGTATAACTCTGGCTACTATTCGAAGCTCTATTCAATAAGTTGCATGCTACTATAACCACCGAAACTTCATGCTATGCTTCTACGTATTTTACAGTCACAGATTATACGCTTAAATCAATTTCATTCGAGCATATTTTGCTTATTTCATAAAGTGCGTATGCTCAGTTTATATAGCATATATCTTTTATCAAACAAATGGCATCGTACGCCCTAAAGAAGTATTAATACTGATGCTTCATCTCTAAACTCCTCCTTGAAACGCTTAATATATCTCCCACGTCGGCGGCATTCGAGCATGAATCCCAAATCGAACACAACACAACTATGGCAGGGTTACACTGACTTTAGAAACAGCATTTCCCACTTAGGAATGTACTTGAAGAAAACTTGAAGAAACTTGAAGAAAACTGAAATACGAGAAACGAAGGAAGCTTACAGGGTAGTACGGCATTTAAAACAAGTATTTACCTTGAAAAGGCCGTGCAGCGACAGTTCCCGCACATTTTGACAACGTGTCTTTTATGACCTTTAACAACGAACACGTACGACAAACTGAACCATATCATGTGTATTACCTTTTTCACATGGCGGCCGAAAGCCTCGGCGTCGGATTCATTTGCTTTAGGTGGTTCATCCGGATACTGTTCGTTGAGATACTAAAATTTCACGATCAACTACTAAGCTATAAAAATAGCATAAGAAACAAACTTGCGCAACACGTGACGAAACGAGGCTGCTAACCAGATACCCGCTAATGGATGCTCCAAGTCCATTATAAAGGCCCAAAAAACCATCTTTTTGGTAAATGTAACGACCTAAACTAATACAATGTACTGATTATCACACCGAAAGTTCATCGATTGAACAGTCTATGCGAAAAGTTAACCTACTGTATTGTATTCCGTTCGGCAAAAAGTATCTGTATGGGCCGAAAAAAATGTACGCCTTGCTTCGGTAGATAGGGTATGGATCATTGCCGAGCTGACAATTCACGGTTACATTTATTTATTAAACTAACAGTTTTCACCTGGACAAGAACTTTGACATAACGTAAAGGATGAAGAGCTGTTCCGATGGCCACACTAAGAACGCGCTCAGAAATCTGAGTGCGCCTGCTCGAACGATTTTCAACCGCGACAGCCATTACTATCAAACGCCAAACAGGACCAACTGCCGAACGAAAATCTGAACGTTCAGAATCATTCAAATGCATAAGTTTCTGAGGAAACTTTAAGAACGCGTCTTTTATAACGTAAGCACTACCGTGAAACATCGATTATGACTAACGAAAAGTAGAATAATCATAATTCAGCGCTTCTGCAAAAACTAGTTCGCATTCTGCCCACATGAAGGGCCACACAACTCTACAGGTACCGCTAAAGGGCCTCAATATGCATTCGCATAGCGCGCAAACACTGCTTTATTTATTTGCTGAACAACCCTGAGACAGACAATCCGCGGTTGACAGATAACTCCAAATGATATGAAGCTAGTATCATATGCCGCAGCGAATCGATGAGTATTTCTAAAATATATTTAGGCGAACGATAATTATTTCATTGGCAGGTATTTAAGA